GGGCAGAGGGAGGGATCACTTCCAGCCTGGAGGGAGGAGGAGGGGGGAAGGCAGGGGGGTCTAATCCCAGGTGTGAAGGCAGGGAGGGCAGGACGGAAGCCTGGGCGCCAGCAGTGCCGCCTGCGTGGGCGTGCTTGGAGCTCATGAGGAGGTGGGAGCGGGTGCCGGTGAACCTGTGGTCACAGCCCGGGGGGAGGAAGCGTTGTCAGCCCTGGGCCACGGGCTCTGCGCAGACTGCACCCCTCCTTACGTGCCGGTGGGGTTAGTGATCTTCCCCATGAAGAGCATGGTAGGCGTGAGGTTCTCCGCAATCATCAGCAGGAAGGCTCTGTTCAGCTTGAAGGTTAGCGGCCTCTCCATGGGCAGCGTCTGCATGCCGGAGCCCGCGGCCCCCTCCGCGCCCTTCTCGTCAATCTTCAGCTTGGCCTTGTGCACCGCCTGTGGGGACCGGAAGCGAGGTCAGTGTTGCCACACGACTCGGAGACCCAGGTGAGCCAAGGACAGCGGAGGCTCAGAGGGAGAGGCCGCAACCGAAGTTGCTCAGCTCAGCAGTCACCGCTGGTGCTGCCTCCCGAACTCCCGCTGTCACCTGTCACACTAAAGGGTACTCAGCAAGGAGGTGCAGCGTGAGGGCAACCAGGCAGGGGGAGCATCCCTGTGGGGCCGGAGTGGGGGTGGAGGGGGTGCTGCCCTTCCTGGGGATTACAGGGAAGCCAGTGCTGTGATGGCAGACAGTGTCTTTGAGCCTCAGCTCCATGGACGGGAGGTGGTGCCCTGCCCGAGGCCTCTGGCCCCTCACTCTCCTCCGCCCACCCGGTGGGTGGCTGGTGGGTGGTTACGAGGGAGCCAGATGCCAGGCCGGCTGTTGGACGTGTCTGGGACCCCAGATCCATCCCAGGACATCAGCACCTGCGACCAGGCGATCGACACTGGGAAAGGGATGGGCTTCTGTGAAACGCTGACACATTTCATTCCATTTCACAGAAGCCGAACCGCTCCCAGCGGGCCAGGAGCTGTGCCCACACAGGCTCGGCTGTGGGCTCCCCCGCTGCGGAAGGACAGGGCGCTGGGCTCCGTGAGGCCTGCAGGAGGGGTGGCTGGTACGACCCTTTCTAAGATGTCTGCGCAGGGAAGTTTAAGGTGAGAAGACTCTATTAGCTCTTTTTCTTCCTTTTGCAAACTGGAAAGTAACCCTGAGTTGGAGCTGGTCGCCAGCTCAGTGTGGCAACTCGGATGCTTCCCCGATGGACTTGACCTTCACACTCAGCACCAGACAGTCCCCACCCCCACCAGCCTTGCGCCATGTGCTCCCCTCCTGGAAGCTCCCCCCCACCCCCACCCCCGACTTCTGCATGTTGAAATCTTTCCCCCCTCAGTTCCCTTTTAACCTAATAGGAGGATTGCTAGATAAAATACAGGCCATCCAGTTACATTTTACTTTTAGATAAATGATGGAGTTTTTGTGTAAGTATATCCCATGTACTATCTGGGACATACTTACACTAAAAAAAAAAATCATCACTTATCTGAAATTTAAACTTTGTGCCTGTATTTCATCTTCTAAATCTGGGGACCCTACCCCAAGTGTGCCTCTCTGCTTGCTCCCGACAGGCAGGTGCTCAGCCTGCTGGAGGCCACAGGCCCTTTGCTTGCTCATCTCTTAATCATGCAGACCATGTGCACGACCTACTCCCAACAGGACTAAAAAAAAAAAATCATCACTTATCTGAAATTTAAACTTTGTGCCTGTATTTCATCTTCTAAATCTGGGGACCCTACCCCAAGTGTGCCTCTCTGCTTGCTCCCGACAGGCAGGTGCTCAGCCTGCTGGAGGCCACAGGCCCTTTGCTTGCTCATCTCTTAATCATGCAGACCATGTGCACGACCTACTCCCAACAGGCCGGTGACGCCTTTGAGTGAGGGTCCGGCTCAGACCCAGACCCGTTCTAAGGCCTCATCAGTGTTCCGGGCCTTGAGCAAGTGTTTGTTGCACTGAATCGACTTCCAGAACAGCACCGGGAGTGGGTGCTCATTTCACAGCCTGAAAGCATGAGGCTGGGGAGGGTCGCGATCCCCCGGGAGCACATGGGCTGGAGTCGAACCCGGCCTGACCGTGGGTGGCTTTCCGGCTTGTTCGGCGGCTGGGATGGGGGCTCGGTGAAGGATGGGGGCCTGTGCCCCAGGGGGCGATGCCCAGGCCAGGCAGGCTTACCTCACCCACTTTCAGGCTTCGATTAGGGACTATCCTGATGAGATCGCCATGTTCCTGGAAGATTTTGGTGATGCCCAAGTAGGAGAGAGTCTTCTTTAGGTCGTAGGTGCCAGTGATGGAGAACCTGGGCAAGGACACGTCCACAACCCTGGGGAGCGTGAGGTGACAACGTGAGGGCAGGCCCCAGGGTAGGTGGTGAGCGAGACATTCCTCCCAGACGTGGAAGCTCAGGCTGTTTCCTTACCCACAGAATGAGGAGCGTCTCTCAACCCTTCACATGCCCCAGCCCTGAGCTGCCCCGACCCGGCAGGCCTGACACCAGCGGCAGCGAGGCCTGAGCTCCCAGCAGGCGGCACCGGTCACAGCCACTCGGAGCTCATGCCTCACTCTCTAAGCCACCGTGCGACCATGATGGTGCCATGGCACCCAGGGCAGTGAGCGCTCATGCGGTGCTCGGAGGCACTCAGCAGTCAGTGGCCATCGCGTGCTCACCCCAGCCCTGGAGTTAGCAGCTGCACATCCTCCGTGGGTGGGCCTTGGGTTCCTGTCCTCGGGCCCTGAACCCCATTTCTGCTTGCCTCTCCAAGAACCCAGGCCCGCCTTGGTCTCCTTCCTCTCCGCACCCTCATAAATGGTGTTGATTTGACCATTCTCAGGAGCAGAGCCCCTGCTGTAATAACCCCCGTCCTAAAAAACAAAACTTCTCTGCTGGGGCCTGGCTGGTGTGGCTCAGTTAGTTGAGCATCATCGCATGCACCGAGGGGTTGCTGGTTTGATTCCCAGTTGGGGCACATGCCCAGGTTGCAGGCTCAGTCCCCAGGAAGGGGTGCGGCAGGAGGCAGCCAATCAATGATTCTCTCTTGCATCAGTGTTTCTCTCTCTCTCTCTCTCTCTCTCTCTCTCTCTCATCAAGAAAAACATATCGAAAAGAAAACATCTCCTGTGGCTCTGAGTCACCTCTCCAGCTTCCAGGCCACATCTTTTCTTTCATTCATAGCAGAAGTTGTACCTACAACTTCCTCCACGTCCTCCCATCATCGCCCCAGCCCACTCTAATCAGGCGTGCTACCAAAGCAGCTCTTCCCAGCGTTGCTGCCGACCTCCGCTTGCTGGGTCCAACAGTGAGCTCTCAGGGGCCAGCACTAGACAGCTGATCCAGCTTTCCAGCTTTTAAAAAAATATATTTTTATTGATTCAGAGAGAGGAAGGGAGGGATAGGAACATCAATGATGACAGAGAACCATTGATCAGCTGTCTCCTGCAGGCCCCACACTGGGGATTGAGCCCGTAACCCAGGCATGTGCCCTGACCGGGAATCAAACCCTGACTTCCTGGTTCATAGGTCGATGCTCAACCACTGAGCCACGCCGGCCGGGCCATCTTTCCATCTCGAAGCACTCCAAACCGAGCCCACGCCCTCCAGCTCTCTCCTCCCTTCAGCAGCCACCCCCTCTCGCCTTTGGCTGCCTCCACCTTGTCACCTGTCACATTGCGGTGATGCTCAAGTCTCAGCCCTTGGTCTCCTTCTTTTTTCTCTCTTCTCCTTCCCTGGGGATCTTATGCATTGTCATTGCTTTAAATGCCAGAGACAGGCTCAATGACTCCCAAACTTACCTTCCCACCCATCCAGTCATTCAAGTATCTATTAAGTGCCTGCTGTGTACCAGCTGCTGTTCCCATTGCTGAGGTGCATCTATGAGAGGAACGGGCAAAACCCATGCCCCGAGCTTGTGCTCTCACAGGAAGACAGGCAATAAAATGAGCAGAGGAGAAAGGAGACATATGCACTACTCTCTGTAATACTTTAAACCAGGGGTCCTCAAACTTTTTAAACGGGGCCAGTTCACTGTCCCTCAGACCGTTGGAGGGCCGGACTATAGTTTTAAAAAAAAACTATGAACAAATTCCTATGCACACTGCACATATCTTATTTTGAAGTAAAAAAACAAAACGGGAACAAATACAATATTTGTATTTGCATGTGGCCCGCGGGCCGTAGTTTGAGGACCCCTGCTTTAAACAATAACATTTAAAAACAAGCCAACGTGGCATAGATGCAGACAGGCAGTCTGCGTATAAGAAGGCAGGATGTGATAGGGAAAACACAGATGAACTCACAGGAGCCAGGAATGCTGGAGCAAAGGGCAGGTTTGGGCACTGCATGGAGGCAAAGGAGGCAAGTTGGTTTTGTGTTTTTTTCTGGGTGAAATGAAGATCGGCCAGAGGGTTCTGAACAGAGAAGTAACGTGGTCTTGCTGAGGGCTTAAAAGGATCATTTCGTCAGCTGTGTTAGGAATATCCTCTTGATGGTGAAGGGCAGGGCCCAGAGGTGATGCTGGGAGACCATTTGGAAGATGTTCGGGTCATAGAAGTGGGAAGGATCAGGCTCCAGATATATTTCAAATGGGGCTGACGGGGTCCCTGGCAGACTGAGGGGCCAGGGGAGAGGAAGTGGTCAAGGAGGACCCCAAGGTTTTAAACTTGAGCAACTAAGAGGATGGAGTCACCACTGAGGAGACGGAAGCTGGAGGAGGTTCCCTAAGGGGAGATGGGGATGTTCCTTCTGGACACGTTGGGACTGAGATGTCTCAGGCATCCAGGGAGGTCCTGGGTGAGCAGACGGATGTGTGACCCTGGAGACAGGGCTAGGGTAAGAGCCCAGTCACCTGGGAGAGAAGAAGTAGAGAGAGTAGGCGGAAAAACAAGAAGGAGGGAGAGGAGGAGGGAAG